GTGGAATTTGAACATGCTACAAATTCCTTTAAAGTGAAAAAATTGAGCTTGTGGAAAGCCACAGTATCGATCGATATTTCGGATATTGTGTGTAGACATGTCCGGGATGGAGGAGTCGTGCGTGGGGTGATTATGCGTATGTATGCAAACTATCCTAAACATCGTATTGTTGAGATTTAGAGCTCACTTGTTGCAAATATGATTTTCCCATAATGTCAAAACGACTAAGAAAGAAATATAACTTACAATACTTGGCAGTTATATATGATTTCTAGAAAACTGTGGATTTTTAGCGGAAAATTTAATTTTATTAGCGTATAAAAGTACAGAAATAAATTTTAATAGAATGGCAGCTGGAAAAGTTGTACTACTTGGTCTTCTATTTTCTCCGGCAAGTCGAGTTCTAAAGGGTGATCTTCTATTGCGGTCAAATTTTGTCGCCTATTAGTAGTCAAACGATAACCGCACATACTTGAAGTCTATCCCTTATCCCTAGAAAATTCGAAATTAAGACAGTGCCTAGATTCATCTCACAGTATTTTTCGTGTAACCGGTAAAGAATTTTATAGAAAAGATAATCACCTCAGTATCCAGCTAAAGAACTAATACGTTTCTTCTCGTCCTCCTATTGCACATTTATAATCTTGAGAACTTCCATTGATTGTCCCGCTATCTATAAACAATACTTTTTGGACGATATGGTTTGTGAGATAAAATAAAACTATTTTTCGAGACCGACATACGTTTCCTACCAGAAACTGATACTTAGTCATTTTTAGCTGCGAAATTAGCACTCCCCATGTAAATTCACTGCGTCTGAAAAGATGCGTTTTGACGCGATCTTATCATATACACGGCAAGTAAACAATCCGATACGTAATTTAATTTCTTTTTCGTCAAACGTACTTATTTCTTAATCAATTAGCATGTAAATTATTTACGATTTATTCATATACGATTGATTCGTATGCGACAAAAATTCACGGACGGACACGGACAAGCATCCTCAGTAGGGCAGATCTCTACTGTGCTCATATTATTCATCACTTTTTCTTATAACTGAAGTGCCTTCTGCTGGTAATACTACTGAAACGATGAACACAAGCCAGCTTCTCGAATAAGTTCAGAATGATAATAGACAGACGGTCATGGCTTTTGTCGTTCAAAAAAGAAATTTGACATCAGAAGTGGGCAGGTTCGACCGTTTCCAAGTCCGATAGAATATGTTTTGGTTAGATAACAACGCTTGATTATTAAAAATACAGTTAAAGCATTAAATATTAATAAGAACAAGAACTAAAGCAACAAACGAAAAAAAAATGTTAGGAAATTAAACTGAGATTACATTTTAACAATATTAAAAGTCCAAGCATATATTTTGCCATTGTAGTTCTATGTGACCTCAGAAGAAATCCACTTCGTTAGAAAACGCGTTCAACCGATGCTGATTTTACCGATATCCATAATAATTTACATGCTCATTAATTAAGAAATAGATACGTTTGACGAAAATGAGATTAAATTACGAGAATCTTATCCGATTCTTAGCAAAAGCAGATAAAAAGCTGGCAAGCCTTATCATATCCCTGTCCAGCTCTTATATAAGAACTGATGCCTAGGGCTAATCTTTCTTTTTAGAAATTGGTGCTGCAGACATGTATTCAACATTTATCATAGTTTTTGTCATTACGGCTAGCATCATTAGTTATAGTACCGCGGCTTCTACAGGAAAAGATTCATGTCCATTTCCAAGTAGCCTCAAATCCAATTACGATTTCAATTATAACTCCAGGCCAAATGAATGGAAGAATTTAAATAGTAAAACTAGTTTTTTTCTTTTAGCGCTCTCCTGGTTAGTATAGATAGAGATTTTCTTAGTTAAATTGCAAAGAGAATTACCAATTGTTTTTTCCTTCTCTCTAAATTTCAAGGACAAATACATATTGTGACGGGTTGTCTGCAGCAAACCGTGCAAAAGTATTTCAATGTACACATTACATGGACAATTTAATTGTCCATGGATTTTGGCCACAAGCAAAACAGGCAGCCAATGTACAAGCACACCCTAGAAATTGTCGTAATGAAAAGCAGTTAAATACGACATTTGTTAAACGTTATTATTGTATTATGCCTGATGAAGATCTTATGCAAGCCGAATGGGAAAAACATGGTAAGACAAGTAATTCTAAAATGATTATCGATCCTTTCAACTTGAAAACATCGTTGTGTTAGAGTCCTCTAGGCTGACATATTGGATTTTTTTATTATTACATAACTTTGAAGGGTCGGCTTCTCTAAACAGTCATAGGTAAAAACTAGAATTATGTAGGATAGGAAGTGCACGGTTATCCATAGTAGGTTTTTAAAACTTAGAATACGGATCTCCAAATAGAAATTTTTAGTCAATCTCTTCTTTCAGTAATACATATTTTGAACAAAGCAGAATCAACATATATGAGGTGCCCTACATCGAAAAAATTTTCGTCATCTAATCTGATTTTGACGAAATGTTAAGCAATCGAAGACCATAATAAATGATTATTATGGTAAACATTTCAGTTTTTATTGATCAGTGAAGCTCAAAGCCCACGAAAATCTCAGAAATTGCTTCTGAAGATCTGTTTTTAAATAAAACTAATTCACAAATGTGCTCCTATTGGGTGATGTAGTTCTACTTAGTTTTTTGAACAAAAATAAACGATCGCTCTAGTATGTCTTATTAAAAATTGTTTGTAATACTGGTCAAAATTAATTAAAAATGATATAGACATTTTAATTAAGTGCCGCAATTTCGGGTTATATATTAAATGACTCATCATTTTACAGAAGAAAATCCTATTTCTCACAGTAATACCTCGTTTTGAAGAGAATGCATTCTTCTGCTTGGGGAAAATATTTCTTTCCAAAAATCGGCCTCAGCTTTGTAAAATTATGGAAATTTCTAGCGTACCACCGGTTTCTAGTAGGTATACACCAGTTAAAAACTGATGCTGGAAAATCCACAAAATGCTCAATATTGAGACAGATGCTTTGCATTATGAAATTTCACAGCTCAATGACTAAAACATGTGTCTAGCATAACTGACGATCTCTATATGTCGATCGCTGTAAGAGTCCTAAGGATCCTTACGTAAGTTTGTTGTTGATCAGAGTCGATCTACATAATGTAAAAGCCTTATCAATATGTGAGAATGATTTAGAAAAGATCGGTCTCGACTGTTGTGTCCTCACTGCTTGAAGAACAATTGCATGCAGTATATATGGACAAATGTTCGTCCTGTCTGATATAATTTTAACAGGATCGACAAGGAACGAGCGCCTCTTTCTTTGGTTTTTATCCTGCTCTAAGGTCATCTTACTAAACAGGTATTGGTTTTTAGAGTGTCAGCTGTCGAAATGTTTGCATTTTTTGAACATTATAAGGCTTCTTGTAACAAAATCGAAACAAGGAGCTATTACAAAAGAAGTTTTTATTTAAATTATCATTAAGGCTAACCCCCACCCCCTCTTTTTTTGCAAAAAAATTGTCATTTTGAGCAGAACATAGTCTAATGTAGAGGAAAGTCTGGGCTATAAAATGAGACCACTTCCGGCTCTCCATAACCTTTCTTGAAAAAATTACGAAGCTTTTAATTTTTTTCTTCAAACCCTAGAAAATCTCTATTTTTAGGTTCGTAAATTTTTCTCTCCTTTTCTATATATTCAAACTTTTTTTCTTATATACATCATGATAGAAGGAAGTGTGCTCTTCAAAAATAGATGTTTTTCAGAGTTTTCCGATGAGTTTTCTTAGAGATATAAGCATTGCCGCATATGCCCCGAAAAACGGAGCCGTATGTACAATATGTGTTTTTCTCACTATGCGTTTTTTAATAGTCCCTTCAATTGGCACACGGGTACGACCCCTCGAAAAAATGGTCCGATCGAGCTCAAAATTTTACCACCAAGGTTTTCAAAGTGAAAAACCAGTTTTTTATATGGGATTTTCAGTATTTTTCGAATATCTCGACAAAGAAAGCATATTTTTCAAAAATAAAAAAAGAGCCTGAGATAGGATCTGAAGTATCTGTGGTAAAATGTTGAGCTCGATCGGATCATTTTTTCGGGGGGTCGTAATGTGACTGGATGAAAACTGGAATTTTTCAGAAAACCCATAGAAAAACACGTCAGAAAATTCTGGGCAAAAATACATCGATTTTATTTTTCGATGTTCCATCTCTGGTATAAATTTGAACCCGATCCGACATCGGTTTCCCTGGTTTCCAAGATGGTAAAAAAAGAGGAGGGTACCCTTAAAGCTATGGAATCATTTTCTTTCAACGCCGCTTAGTTCTCAAACCAAAAGGGGTGTACTGTAAAATATTTCCCCGTTTTGTTTGACGCGATGTCCGATCCCTTATTCTATCCGTTACGATCAAACGGACATCTTGCTGCACAAACTGTGACCAGTGCAGATCTGCATGCGGTGCAGAATGCTTTTGCCGGTTCACGTTGTCTGGACTCGTTCCTGCACGATGGTGTTTGTAGAATGGACGTCCAACACATGCTAATAAATCCTCTTTTTGAAACAGGTTAGGTTAATGAACTTTTCATTTCCCCAACAGTTTGATAAATCTTAATTTCGTTAAAATCCTACTGTAGTGTACTTCGTCAACCGTTGAACATCTCATAGGAGCTACTGTAGGAGTAATAAACGATTTTCTGATGACATAATCATCGTTTCCTAGTAGAATTGTACTTTCGATACAGTTTTTTCACAATGACATTTTTCTGGATTGAGAAGTTTTTGAGATCGTTCTTGGAATGCCATAATATTTGCTTTATTGTAGTCTTCATAACTATACGTCATAATAACAAAAATAATAATAATACCTTCAAAATCCACCTGAGCCATATCAGTCTAATTCACAGGATTTATATACCCAGCAGTGCATGTAGTAGCTTTCATTTTCGTAATGAAATCCACACATCGAACATCATTAGAGAGATACTGAACATGTACAAAGAAAGCGTGAATGAATATACACACAATGAAAGAAGGATATGTAATGAACAATGAGCGAGTGAAAGAATGCAACGGACTAAGAAATGAACAATGGGAGAGCGATATAATATGAATCGAAAGAGGGAATAAGTATGAATGGTGCAAAAAGAGCGACCAGAGACAGGAGAAGTCCTTATATTTTCGTTACATTTCCCCACCTCCCTTCCGCAAAAATTTCAACGTACGTTAAAAAAATTATGTAGTTTTATATCATCACTATTTTCAGGTAAATTAAACTAGAATTAAAATATAATATAAATGTTAGAATCCGCTTTTTAGTCTCTATCGAGTAAGATAGGTTACATATTCTACCGACCACGTAGAATGTACAGAAAAATCAATTCCTACTAAACTTTAATTTTAAGTATTAAGTAAGTAGTAAGGGGTGAGGGTGAACTACCCTCAAGTAAGTAGTTTTATGTAGTAATTTTACAACCGCCTTCTAAGTTACTAGAGACTCAGACAGAATTCATTTCTGAATGGAGTTTGTCACTATAAAGTAGAGAATTTGTGACGTACTGTCTTTCTCTATTGTGTCAAAACTACGATTAGTAAGAAGATGGGTGACCACTTCCCAAGATCGAACCATAAGTATGGTGCTTTTCACATTTATCTCAACAGTTGTTGAGTGAAAGTTACTAGATAC